AAATTGTAAACAAGCCATCCATTTACTTTTAGAGCATAGCAATTTTCAGCAATCGTGTAATTTTTTATTATTATATATATTATATAATTATTTCTAATTATTCTAATAGATTTCGAGATATCGATTTTTGAATTCAGAGTTCTAATAGCGCGACCACTATCGAACACCCACTCAATCCCACTTATTTTTACCAAAAGTGCAAGTGTTTCTAGCTTGCATTTAAAAAAATTCAAGCTATAGGGAAAATTACAACGACTCGTTAATAAATAAACAAATTAAGTATCACGAAACGTAATTAAATCGTGAAGCTGAACGCATGACGTACACCTTTCCCTAGAAGAATCCCTGACTAGTCAGCGCGTTTCTTATTCGTTGAATTGTGTAGAAACGAGACTAACAATCAGGTTTCTACGCATTTTGACCAATGAGAAACATGCTGACTAGTCAGGGATTCTTCTGGGAACAGACCTTGGGTCGACCGGTCAACTGCGATAAATCTGCTATACCCCCTTCCACGTCTCTTAGCGATGTGCACAGTTTCTCGGTTTATTTCATACGTTTGGCAACGTGTTTACTGTCCTCTCTTTGTTCAGTACATTATAAACGCATTGTACTCTTCTTACATACGGAAATCTCGACCCAAGACTAACCTTTGCCAGCCCTTAGTATTCTTTAGTCATTGTTACAAACAAAATGTATTGAGTTTCCTATCTATTTTATATTATAGTATCTTATCTATGACCTTGACCGTATACGACACATGTCACTGTGACAGTTTAGTTTTGACGTAAGAAACGTGAAAAGTCATATTCGCCCGATCGCGAACAAATTTAGTGGGCAAGCAATTATGTGAGCGACGGTGCACACGGTCCCACCCTGCAAAGTTGGATACGACGCGACGTTTCGTTTACATCTTCATCAGGATGGGACTAGGAATTTGATATTGAAGAAAAATGTCGGTCGATTTCGGCATAATTGGGGACGGGCTATAGGATAACGCCCTCGACGTTTCGAACCGATGCACAGTGCTTCGTCCCATGGACAAAAATCAAAAAATAAGTTGAAATTTACTAATATCTGAATATATAATTTTATACTTATAGCAATGTTCAACCATCCTGTATATTAATTTTCATAATCAGCGTTTTTGTTACCAAATATTTTCACTAAAAATAAATTTTGCGATCATTATCTCATCAGTGAAAAGAATAACATTCATAGTAGTTCTGTATATTATGGAGTTAAACGGGTACGTACTTAATTGAAAGCCACTATGGATATTGTTAAACAAGGTATGTACTTTAAATTTATTTCTAAACAAGTTCGTGATTGTTTTAGTTTTTATTTATTTTTAAGATGATTCTTAAATGGGTATAAAAATTTTACGTTTTCAAACTTCAAAAGGCATTAAAAAACATATCAAAACATATCGTATTTATTGAATATTTTTGTTGCCATATTCATACACTTTTAATTTTTGTATAGTTCACCTGCGTCTGCTTGCGACGAACTTTATTTTATAATACTTTTCAGATGGAGTAAGATTGATAAGCAATGCCGATCTGGCTAATACTTGGCTTGATCATAAGGACAAGAACTCAAAATTATTAGTATTTCAAAAAATATGTTCTTATTAGATATTGATGAACCTTCCAGTCAAATGAGACACCACTTGTGCCTGAAAAAGTCCACTATGTTGGAGCGAAACGTCGAATAAAAAAAGTGTCCATCTTTCAGTTTATTATAAAATCTCATACCCAAGAAAAGGAAAAAATAATATATGCATATGGTCTATTAAAGAGGTAACTATTAACATCCGAACCCCTCATACCGACAAAATGAACAGTAACAACGCGAAAAAGTAACATATTAGAAAATGATGTACAGAAATATCTTATATGTGAGGATACTTCATCTACCTGTGATTTAGATACTATAAATTTAGAAGATTCTGTCAGCAGTGATTCTCCTGAATCAGAGTAGTTACGATCTATGCATTTTGTTGTCCTAAAGTAAATTTATAGCATCTTAATTTTTTTTTTAATTAAATATAACATTAATGTTTCTTTTTCATTAAAGAAAAACATTTTTATCTTATATTAGGCTTATATTGTAGGAATCATGTTCTAATGTTATTTCAATTCTTTTTTATCACAGGAATTTATTTAATACTTACACCGTTTTCATACTATAACTTTTATTTTCTTAGATGGAACACAGCTCCAACATTATTATTATTTATAAGATTTTTTTTTCATAAACGTGGGACTAAGAACATCATCATTTAGTACAATGAGAGTACTCATCATTTGTGTCAAATAAACCTAGTTTGAATAAATTGCTTACAATAAAAGAGAAGTTTTGGATTTTTGTCCTCTAGAGGCCATATGTTCGAAGCACTGTGCGATGCCTCTAAATAGACGAAATCGTCAAGATTTTTATTAATTACTGGTCGATTGGAAATAAACTCGGCACGTGAATAGAGGTACCCGAGTGGAGTCCTCAGCCAGACAGACGGTCATTTTAATACAAATTTTGTGAAAGCGAATCATTATTATTTATTAATAATTTTTAATTTATTGTCCTTTTCAACATTTCAAATTACACTTTTTCAAACATGTCCTTCAACTCCTTCAATTTAATAGCTGTTAGTAAGAAGTTTTACTTCAAATATGCGCACATAATGCACACACAATTTTGTTTGTCTTACAAATACGGCCATTTGTATTTGTTTGTGTATTTAGTATCAAAAAGCTTTCGCAAATAGCATCCATTACTCGTAAATGACCAAAGTGAGCCATAAAAATATTTAATAAATGATATTACGAATTAATAAAACCTTCTCCGATCCACTAGAATTTTCCAAATCTATTTCTAAACCGTTTTTAATAGCCCAATATTTCAAGAACGATATCCAGAGGCGATAGATTATCTGGAAGAGGAAATAAAGAGTTCTCGCTGCATTTATTTTAGCTTCGTACAGTCAAATGCGAGCCATTTTTTTTACAGCTAGATTATATTAATAAAAAAATTGTGTAAGCACTATGTGCGCATATTTGAAGTGAAACTAACAACTATTAAATTCAAGGATTTGAAAGACATGTATGAAAAAAAAAGTATGAAAAAGTGTAGTTAAAGGTTAAAAAAGTAATAAATTAAAAAAAATTACGCGTAAAAAAAAGTAAAAAAAAAGAATTTTTTAAAATCTACCAGAAAATATGACAACAACATATAGGTTGTGTCCTTTAAAAAAATTGAGATTTTTTTAAATTTTAACTAGTTGAAATTCATAAATATATTTTGAATACCCTGTAGCATCTAATTAAAATATCTTTACATATATTTTTCTTCATCTCTATGAAACTCTCTTACCAAATTTTAGTAGTCTAACTTCATAAATAATGGCATCATTGACAATTTTTTACCACACTGAAATCTAACATTTGTTTAAACAAATTTAAATATTACAAAAACTATTAAATTTAGGTGTTATATATTATAAAGTTACAGAATTTTACGCATAATCTAGAAATAAAATAAAAAATAAGAAGGTACATTTAAAAAAACATATGGTATATCGGCCACACTTTTTTGAAGTAGTTTGTATACTCTATAATAATTTTAAAATGTTAACCTTCCCTTTGTATTTTAAATTTAATATTTTTTTTTTCTACGACTAGCCTAGAAAATGCAGTTTGACACACGGAAAACTTGATATGAAATTGGCGTTTTGCAAACTCTTGTGTGTTAAGGATTTAGCGCACGACATGTGTCATTTTGCACACGACATGTGCCAATTTTAATATTTTTAACCTCCAATGTTTAGCTGAAACGCCAAACGCAACGTAGCCGTTAGAAAAGTGTCATCATTACATCTCAAATTATTTCACAAAACTGGCAAAAACTGAGCGAGTCTGCTGCTAATTTGTAGTCGTAGAAAAAATAGCGTAAAAGACTCGTTCGAAAACTTTTTTGTACACTCGTTCGACTTGTGGCTCTTGCCTGCGGCTCGAGCCAACAAAATGTCGAACTCGTGTACAAAACGTCGTTTTCGAAACTCGTTGTTTAATATACTATTGTAAACCTCGAAACAATATCAGGGCCCGTATTCTGTAACTTTGAAAACGCTAAGCGCTTTTAGACGCTCAGCGTATATGACGTTAATTTTCGTTGAGCGCGCACTTAATTAACGATTTCGGTATTCTCGTCTGACTCGCTTAGCGTCTTTACTGATTGCGCTGAGCGCTTTGAAAACGGTTGCCTTAAAGGATCGTTTTGCTTGTCGAACTGTCAGTGAAAATCGAAAAAATTGTGATTTTGTGCGTTATCTTGCTCTTTAGTGAAAATTACTACTTCTTCTATAAATTCCTCAATAAGTAATTGATAATTTACGACTTGGCAGCTCTAAATATTGTTGTTCGCAACCAAACCAAACCAAACTAAACCAAAACATCGAAAATGCTGAGAAGTGACTTCAACACTTCCCTCGTATAATAAGAATAATGACATATCCATAGAAAAATAGCTTGACATAACTCAACAATAGGTTATGAAATTCACGTAAGATTGACATTTTTCATTGTTACATCCGTCAGTTATCAACTTTTGACTATTACCTACGTTAGAAATTGTGATGTTGCCAATATGTGCTCAACGCGTATCCAGAACACGATTCGCATGGCAACGAGAATACCAAAATCGACTGCCTTGCGTTTCGCTGATCGAATACTTGCGCTCACCCCTTTGAAAACGTAACGTTTTTATGTCAAAGTTACAGAATACAGGCCCAGATAATGAACTTTATCGTTGACTCACCCTGTGTGTACATCGTGTGCAACCATTACAATCAGTTAAGTGTTCCAGGTATTTTCAATTAAATCAAAATATTTACTTCAAACTGCACGAGTTTTATGAAAAACCCTAGATTATTGTTTATAAATATAACATAAGGTACAAACTTAAATGTATGAATAAACTCATTTTAAGATATAGTAAACAACATTAACAGTGCATCGAAGATTTGAAAAACACTTGATATAGTATAAAAAAAATATTAACAAGATCAACTTATAGACGTTGTTTACAGTTGATACTAGTAATTTTTATTACTCGATAGGTATAAAATGTGATTATTTAAAGATGTCATTAAAGTATATAAACAAGTGAGAAGGTAAAACTACATGCAGTTAATCACAATGATCGCAAGAAGCACTTTAATCTTTTGTGTTGTGTTAGTTTGCTTCCTTACAATAGGTGAGTATACTCTTGATTTAAGACAATAATTATGTCAGTAGACTAAATTGAAGTACAGAACATTATAAAGTGAACAAGAAAGAAATAGTGAGGGAAATATATAAAAAAGAAGAAAAATATTAAACGGCTCAGCCCTCAACAACTCGCGTGTTCAAAATGTCTGTTGCTGTTGGCTACCTCCGTGGCTGTTCTGGACGAAGCCCACAATCCTGGGCGACTCTGGTTCTTGGCTGCAAATAGGGGCTTTAGGCTCCCGTTTGCTCCTTTTATTTTCCATCATTGATTTTCGTTTCTTCATCATTTTTTCCATCTCCTGGGTTGGTCATTGATTTTCCGTTTCCTGTTTTTTTGTGCTTTGGGATCGGTTTCATCGCTTCCTGATTTCTTACCGTACTGATGAGGTCTGAAGGCAGTAACATCAGTGTACACTAGTGTAGGTGTGGTTGTGTGAGTGTGCGTGTCTGCACTGGTGTACACTGGTGTATAGGGTTGCGAGTTGTTGAGGGCTGAGCCGTTTAATATTTTTCTTCTTTTTTGAACATTATAACAGTATTATTATTTTTTTTTGCAAATGAAAATATTTTTTTTGATATTAATATGTCAATGCTTCATTATTTTTAGGACAAACCATTGCAGCTGAATGTAACTCAGCACTAGACAAAATCTGTGCTGAGACCTTCAATTGTTTGGCAGGACAGACAGCAAAATGTGCAGTTGTTGCAGGAATCACTACCTGCACGTGTGTTTAAAAATTCTTACATAATAATTATGTTTTATTATCGAAATATATTACATTAGAGGAGCAATAAACATATATTTTTATACTTATTTCACTGTTGTTATCATTTGGTGTATTATTGTTTACATTTTGATTCAAGAATTTTCAAAATTCTACGCCAAATTTTCTAAAATATACAATAATTTTTCTTCGTTGTATATTATTGTTTCAATACCAGATAGAGAATCAAAAAACATTTTTGAACATTTTTTGTATTTAGATTATTTCAAAATTTTCAATAGTTTCGCAAATATTCGTAGTTATAGGTACATTTCATACGGCGCCCGCGCTGGCGTTTTCCACTGTAAATTTTTCTCAAAGCCACCCAATGATTTTTCTGTCGTATTTTACCGTTGAAAGAACCATATGAAATAATACTGCGTATATCTGTATAACCATTACAAATTTTAAAATACTTTAATAACAAAAAAAATATTATTAACTCTCCGTCTAATAAAAAAATAAAACAAAAGGTGTTCTATTAAAAAAAAACAAAGAAAACTTATTTTATATTTTAGAAAGTTGGAGGAAAAATTTTGAACACCTTGTATGATTTAAGATTACGCTGTTTATGGCAAAGTAAGTATAAACCATCTAAAGTATATACTTAATATAGTTTTGGTTTCAGCACAGTTCTTGTATTTGTAATAATTTTTTTTAGGGAAGTTTGAAAAATATATATTTTTTATTTATTTATTAATATCTCTGAAACTATTGAAATATATTTATACACGTACACTTTTTTGAGCCACCTCGTAGAAGTTAAAATATTTTCCTTAAATACATCCTAGTACGTACTTTAGGTTTGCACTTAACCAAAATTCCCAGGTATTTTATTCTAGGAGCTACAGACACACGACCAGGACGAACTATTGCCGGACCCTGTACAGGGTGGCTCGAATTCGACGCTCATCATTGGAATTTCGGAAACCGTAAGAGATACAGGATCGGTTAAATGGAGGCAAAGTTGCGCAATTTGATGCTCAATAAAATGCCGTATTGTATTTTGAAAAATTCCGAATACTTCCGAATATATTCGAAAAAAACGGAATTTTCAATTTTGTTTTCTATTGTTTCCTGGATTTATTTGTTAAGATAACGTAAGATAAAAAACACATTTTCATAGCCACTTTCTCTGCTCTATAACTCTGTGTGATTAAATATTGACTGACGTTTCGGCTGCTGGCGACCATCATCAACTTATTTTTTTTAAATACGGACCTGATTTTTTTTTTTCAATTTAAGTAAATCCTTTCATCACTCTTAAAACACTATATTAGTCACTTTGATATTTGCTGACGTTTCGTACAAAAAATTCCATCACCAGAATATTTTATGCAAAAAAAATAAAAATGCAATACGGCATTTTATTGAGCATCAAATTACGCAACTTTGCCTCCATTTAACCGATCCTGTATCTCTTACGGTTTCCGAAATCCCAATGATGAGCGTCGAATTGCTGTACAACCCCGAGCCACCCTGTACAAACACGCTGTGAGCCACCCTGTACAAACGAGACTGATGTAAACTTACAAAAAATGCAAAACTATCAGATATACCGATAAATCCTCTGAAACGGCACGTATTTGATTTTGTGTCATCTTTCGTGAATCCGACTCTATATTTTGTACTCCAAGTGCATAAATCTGAATAATTGACGTTTTTTTTTAGACCGACGGTGTATCAAATACGGCAGGAAATCACTGCGATTCAACTTAAAATTCCGTTCCAATCAGAACTAGTTCGTTATTTCCATTGTGTGATAAAGTACACGACACATTTCTACATTTTTCGTGCTTCTATGTCATCCGTAATATTTCGGACCAATGAAAATTGCTTTGGCATTTCTCTATCAAACTGTTAGGTCGCGTCTAGCTAAGCTCGCAACGTTGATGGCTAATTGGCTTGAAGTAAATCCCTAATGTCACTGCGTTTTTTTAAAATCGATATTTCTTAAGCTCCTGTCTACACAGAACGTTTTACCTGTCAGTCTTAGCTGTTCAGTCAAAACTTATCAAGTAAAACATTTAGTGTGTGTAGACGAAGAGAAGAATTAAGACGGAAGACTGTTTAGAAGACAGCTGACGGGACCATTCAGTTTAACAAACTTAACTGTCGTTATAGGTACAGTGAAAAAAATATACAGTTCATACCAAATAAACTTTTAGTCACGTGATTAACCCAGAGAAATAGAAGGGATAGAGAATGAGCGTCAACATGCGCAGAAGGTCTAATCAAGTTGGGCGCCATATTCCAGATCTCCGTGTCATTTTGTATATAGGTGGTAATCTATAAGTAATCAAATATCAATTTGCTGTTTTCAACCATACGGTGGGCAATTTAAATTTATCATTTATTATGGTTAGATAACATTAATATGATTTATTTAATTATCATCAGTTTCAAAACTGCGTACAATATTGGTATATGATACACTAAATATACGAATATTCTGACAAAAGACGCTACGGACAGATGACCTTTTCTTAGTCGTTAAACACTCGAAATGCCATTAAATAAGTATTTACAATTATTTCATGTTTACTTGTACTGAATTGCGCGTTTCAATTTAAAATGTTTGCAAATTTGGTAAAAATTGTTCTAAACAACTCTTTGTTCAAGTTATATTATATTCATAAAACATTTGGTTGTGAAGAACCTAGAAAAAATATGTTTTTGTTTTATTTTTTTTATTCGTCCCTTCAAATTGTGTTACAAAAACTGTTACAAAACATGTCCTCTAACAAATATTTTCGTAATACATAAACATCAGTGATTTTATTAAGGATATTATTATTAGTATTTATCCTGGTTTTTGTCGAGAATAAAAACTCTAAATCTTGTAATAGAACATCAATTTTATATTTCGTAAAATTATCTTGATACAATTTCAATTTGTCAAAATTAAATTCAAGTCATTAATATATTGATGATAATAATAGCTCCCGTATATAGAGTTTAAGGCCTTGGGAGTAGCAAGGTACAGCTTGCCATACTAGAGCCGTTCGGTATACAAGGAAGGTAATGTGGCTAGCACTACGCTTTAACCAACAATATATTGATAAACAACCCAAATTATTCCAAAATATTTTATTATAAAAAAACTGTTACCGGTGAGTTTGTAAAACACATTATGGTTTGTCTAAATACTAGAAAAAATCATTTATTTTTTGCACAACAGAAGATTGCCGATCCTTATTTGTCCATAACAAAATTCTATATGTATAACATACATATACCTAATTTATTATTAAGAAAATTAGATTATATGATTTCAGAATTTTAAGATTTTTTTTTAAGATAAAATAGTTTCTTCTCAACTGTAATACTTTGGCCTGTATTTTATCTATTAAAAAACATGGGATTGACAATCCCCTTACTAAAATACATACTGGAAGGTACCGATTAAGTTTCATTGCATCAAATACCTTTGCTATAAATCCTGGCTCACAATTTAAGGCCATTGCAAAATGCTTTTGAACTTCATCATAGATTTTACAAGAATAAAAGTGTAATATTGAAACAAAGTAACATTGTAAGCTTCATGACTAATAGTCTCATTTTTAACACTCTTTAAATATCATCTCGTTAACAATTATGAATATCATATGATTTTTCTCAGTGATTTGTGGCACAGATACGAATTAATATATGCCCCATGACAGTTTTTAAATAAGAAACTTCTGCCTACAGATTTAATTTTCTTATTAGCATAATACCCTTTCTTCCTATATAAATCTTGCCATTTTTTCAGTCCAATGTTCCTTGTTTTTACAGTTGTAGCAATACTAAAAATGTTGACTATAGAACTCGATACTATGTTTGAAAAAGCCTTCATACCTGTAACTGTGCATAAATCTAATTAACTGAATTCTTCTCCTCTTGACACTCTGAACACTGCTGCTGCTAATGTTAGAAATATTTAGCACAAAACTACAACTACCTACAACAAACTTTACAATAAAAATGTTAAATTTTCGCTGATCGATTAAAATACCCAATCTTATGTTTTCTTTTCCTCCAAGTAAGGACCAATCTGTTTGCCTGAGTGATACAATATTTGACATATTTCTGGTACACTTGAATTTGTGCTTTCATGGACACTATAAGAGTGCACTGTTTTACAGAAGCACGAACATTGATTCCAAGTATCTTCTTCCTCCACATGTAATAAAAACATCCTCTTCAAATGGCCACATCACACTTGGTTTTTGACCATTCCCAATTACAATCACGATTTTTACAAATCGCCTTTAGGAAAACTAAAAATAAACAGTTTTGGATCATCTGTAAACACGATTATGTTGTATAAACTTACACATGAAAACTAATCATTTTTCCCGGCGTATTAGCTTTCTTAGAATGACTATGACAATGCCTTTTTGAATTAGTGTTTAGAATAATTGAGATAATAATAAATTTTAACTAGATAACAACACAAACGAAAATAAAACAAAACAAACAGATGTCAATTAAAGAGGGGAAGTGACAGCGAGACCTGGAAGATGTCTGCCATCTTGCCGTCGACAAAAATTTGGATGCGCACTCGTCGAAGCTCATTCTCCCCCTTCCATATCTCTGGATTAACTGGGATTAACCTTGCGATTTTTAGATTCATTGTTGCCAACCATGGATATATTCGGCACCGTGCTGACTAACTGGAATTTAAATTTCGAGCTGGGTATTCAGGTGGTAGCTCTGCTGTAAAAAATGTCAAGTTGTCGCATTTATTTATTTATTTCCTGAGATTGTCATTCGTTTTGACACTTTAGCTTTGTATTACCAGTTATTTTTAGTTTAAATGATTTGTGTTTTGATACTATAAGCTTGATATATATCCTACACGCTTTTCTTCATTTGAAAAATTCATATTTACAATTTTTGTTTATTTTAATTTACGAAGTTTGGATGTGACAGTTTCACATTTCTGAGAGAAACAACGATTGGACTTGTTTCCATGGCTAACTAAGTGAAATTGTTTAGAAAAGATAAGAACTGGCAATTACTCTATAAATTTTTCGAAAAAAATATATTATAGCTTGTATCTGAC